ATTTTAAGACTTTTTATAGTAACAGTCAAAAAGAATTCAACAGTGGCTGAAACATAGGGATATTTGAGCAGATAAGAACCAATATAAACAAGATAATAAGGCTGATTCATTAGAAACGAAGCACTAGATTAGAAAAGGTTGCGACCTGATCATCAATGGATAAAGTGAGAAGGAAAAAATTGAAGCTTTGCACGGAGTGACTTGAGCCAAACATGCATCATAATTCAAGACTATTGTGGAAGATTTCTAGTGTTAGTAGCAGTACAAAATCATATGAACTAAAAATTGTTGGGAGCAGATAGAACGCTGATTAGATTTGCCACGTTGGGTTGTCGGGTAAGCTCAATGTTTTTTCTGATTCAAAAAGGTTTTTAGAACGGTTGCTTTGGCAAAATTTTGTATCATTAAAAAGATAAGTCTTTCTCTACATGATAGTATACCTAATTTTTCTGAAGTTTTTGGGTTTGTCGCACTAGAAGTGATTAAAAGCTTAACCAACTTAATTATTCTAGATTGTGAGCCTGAAATTTACATTAACCCCACCTGATGCTGTAATCGGTACGCTGATTACAAAAATCGTAGCCATTTTGCCCGATAAGGCTATGCTGTAAAAGTGTGGTAAATGTACGATATAGGGTCAGATTGATCTGTTTGAAAAGTGGTATACTGGGGTTAGACATGCTGATTACAATCATATGCATTCCCCACGGTAAAGGGCCATAGGGCAGAGATGAAATACAATTTCTCCTTTCTCAGTAGATTACCAATTTTGAATTAGCATCATCCCACCTTTTCCACTGAAAGCTTATAATACAACAGGAATAACTTTGTGACCACCATTCTGATAACCCTACTGTCCCAGAAAGATCCGTGATTTTGAACACTATGGCATCTGTCGTATCTTACAGTAAAGCCCTACCTGGCTTAATTACCATACTAAATAGCATTTTTCGAACATCTCAAGTTCCAGAAAAAACTAACTGATTAGGCTTTTTACAAAACAAATCAGTGGATATGAGCCACGTGCATTTCTTATAAAGGGAGGCTTGTTCTTTTAAATGACACACTTTTTTTTGAGTTCGAATGAAACGGCTTATCCGACAACCAATAGAATTCTATAAAATGGTTTCTTAGTGGGTTGGTGTTTACGATGAAACCAGCTCTACAAAATTATGCTTATTTTCTCGAAAGATATATATATATATACATAAGATTTTCAAAGGTACATCAT